AAAGATTAAAAAAATGAAATAGAAATTAAAAATTAGAATTAGAAATAGATTAAGAATATGAAAATTAGAATTAAAAATAATCTATAAAATTAATTGACATTAAATTATTATAAATAGGAGTAGTATTTTATTTTATAAAAGAAATAATTTTAAGTCTTAATAATAAAAACTATGTAATATTATTATATTTATATTAAAATACTTACATTAAAAATATCAGCATTAACAAATCTTTTGAAATATTAATACATTAATTAGTGAAATAATTAAAATCTTTTTAATATATTAAGATTCATTATTATTTTTGAATTATAAAAATATTATATTAATTATAAATAAAAGAATATAATTATATTAAAAATTAAATAATAAAAATTAAGAAAAAACTAAAAAGAATAATAGGTATTAGAAATACGTCTTCTTATTTAATAATTTATTATGTTATAAGATGTATTTTTATTATAAAGTTTTATATAATAATAAACTAATTAATTTATTATAATATATTTTGATTGAAATTAAAAATGATATTTAAAATAAAATAATAAATGAAAAATAATAAATAAAATAATTAGACAGAGATCTATAAAAAAAAGAAATATGAAGAATAACGAATATTAAAGAAAATAATAATATTATGAGATAATTAAGAAGAAGTAAAATAATAAAGAATAAAAAAAATTAATAATAAAGAATAATAATAAAGAATATAATAAAAAATTATATAAAAAATAGATAATAATTATAAATGATAAAAGTAATAACTTGCAAAAAAAAATATAATATAAAGAATATATAGATTTTAGATAAGTAAAAATTTAATTTATAAAATACATTATCTTAATAATAAGTAATAAAAATACATTAAGTAAATATAATTCTTGTTAAAACTATTAAGCTTTAAATTATCATATATTTATAAAATATAGGTTTTAATATAATGATGGGTTTTAGATATATTTTTAGATTTTAATAGTTTTGGATAAGGTTTTGAATATAAGAAAAAGTATTTAAAACCTGTTCAAAACCTATCTAAACTTATCTAATTGATTAATACTATTTAATAAATATAATGTAAATTTATTATAAATTTGTTTTTATTATATAAGTACTTTATAATAGAAAGAATAAAATTTTTTTTACTTTATAAATTAATTATCATTTTTTTAGTAAAATAAATTCAAATTTAATATAATTTAAAAAAAATTTTTTATAATAATTTTCTTTATTTTTATTGTAAAATACTTATATATTATATGATAATATATTAGATGTAAAATTTTATTAAATTAAAATGATTTATTTTTAATTTTAATATTTGTTTTAAATAACTTTTTAAAGAAAATATTAAATAAAATATATTTTGATTTTTTATAGGTTTAATATTAAATTTTATATTAAATATATTATTATTGATCTAAAATAAATTATTAAATCAAAATCATTATTTCTAATTTATATAATTATATTAATTAAAATGTAAGATATAAATAATAAAATAATAAAAATAAAAGAACAGGTTTTATAAAATTACAAATATATGATTTGTTATATATAAATATTTATAAAATATACTTTTTTATAAGATTAAAAAATCTATAGTAAAATATTATATTATAAAAAAGAATAAATTATATTAATTATAATTATTATTAATAAAATATAGTTGAATTACATTATTATATTATATTAGTCATAATTTACAAAATTAATTTCAATTAAAGTATATTATAAAGTTAAATATGTAAATGATTTATATATATAATAAAATAAAAATATTATTTATTGATAATTACATATATAAATTATTTTCTTACTTAATATATTTTATAAAAAATATAAATTAATTTATAAATATTCTTAAAATAGCCATATAACTTATAAAAAATATTTTTATAATTTTTTTTTTTTTATAATGAAACTTTAATTTTTTTTAGAATTACTCTTTATTTTCTGAATTTAATATTTTTTTGAAAATCTAAAGCTAATATTCTTATCAAGATTTTTATCTTTATATGATTTTTTAACTGATATTATAGAATTTAGCCAAAATTATTCATATGATAAATAAGGTAACAAATAGAATTTCTTATACTTTAAAAATTCAAAGTTTTTAGAATATATAATAAATTGAAAAAGTATAAGTAAAATAGAGTGATAAATTATTTAAATTATGTAAGAAAGATCTATAGCCAATATTAACTAACATTATCAGAAAATTTTTTTGCCTCTAAAATTATCACACTTTATCATACTCTCTATTTTTTTATTTACACTGTATTTTAGAATAAGAATTTTTTGGTGATGAAATCTATAGCCATATACGATCACGTGGCTGATAGATATTTGGCCCGAATTACGGCATTAAGTGATAGTCCCTGTGACAAATATTATGTTATCACATACCGAAAAAATTTCAAGAACCAGACAGTTTGACAAATATTTGTCGAGTCACGTGATCTAACACGGCTTTACCCTTTTTTTAAGTAATAGTTAATAAATAGAGGTCAAATGCCAGCCCGAGTTAAATTTAGGCCACAAGACGTAAGTTTTTTTTAATGTTTTTTTTTTTTCAGTTTATTTAATTGTTTTTAAATTTTAATAATTTTTAAATTTCACAAGAGCGTGCTGCTTATAAATAATATATGCATGAAAATTTTATGTATTTACCTTCTCTTCAATTTTCAAAATATGGGAGATAAGCTATTAAAATCACGTTACAGATCCTATGATTTACTATGTTCGTAACTCGATTTAATAGCAAACCCTCATATAGGTTAAGAATGTATTATATTAAAAATTTACTACTACTGAATTTTAAAAAATTTGCCAAATATTTTGCTGAATGATATTCAACTATTATAATTAAAAATAATATTTTTACAATAAATTTCATGATGTTTTACAAATAATTGACTATTAATTACCTATTCAATAAAGATTAAGATTAATTAAAAAAATCTTGACAAAATTTGCCAGAAATACCATTTAGGGAAAGAATTTATTTTTTTTTTTTTTTTGAACGAATAACATTTATTTTTTTAATATTCGATCGATCGAAAAGTGACACTTTGCATTGATGTTCATTTATTCCAAATTAAGTTTATTTAGTTTTATTTAATAAAAAGAAAGCAACATATACTGTATGACGGATAATTCTTTAATTGGCAATCACATACACTGATAATTTCAAAAAGAATGTATGAACCCTTTTTAGCTTAATTAAAGATTCAACGAACTTTAGTATTTTAGGAATGTTCCTTAAAGAATTTCCGTCATTGTCTATTGAGGCAAAATTATGCATCACATTAATTTTGGCAATTCATTAGTCGATAATCACAAGTATATTAAAGATTTTGGTTAATTAATGCTAAACATTAAAAAATTCACCATAAACGAACAAATAATAAGATTTACTTAATTGTTCGACTAATATATAAACGTCAAAAATCTTGTGTTCTCAATCCAAATTTATTCTTATCGTGGCGAAAGTAATATACTATCTAAAAATTTCAACTAAACCATAATCCTTTTAGGCTAAATAAAATTCTTTATACAGTCAAAGCCAATAAAAAATATATATATAAATATATAAATGTGTCAATACCGTGTAACATACATTTATGAAATGTATATATATATATTTTTTTTAGATTACAGTCGACTCTGGATATGCCGTTCCAGAAAATTTGGTTCGGTATATAGAATTGACCAATAAAAATACAGACACGTGATCACTTCGTAACAATAAAATTTATTAATTTATTATATTTAAAGTCGGAAAGACTAACATTAGGTTTTAAACTAGTGTTTTATAAAAGATTATTGCGTTGGCAAAATAGATTATCCGCGTTTTACATAACTTATAGTGTTAACATTTTTCAATTACACAATCTCGTATGCTAAATTTTAAATCACGTGATCGCTCGGTTTATCAAATATATGGCTTAATATACATGTGCGGTATATAACGTTTTATTATATGAATTCGTTATAACCAGCGTAATCAATTATAAAAAAATCGGTTCTGTAACACATGGTTCGGTATAATAAGATTTATGTATAAGCAGGTTCGTTATATCCAGAGTCGAGGTATAGGAGTTTCAAGATCTCTAATATTGACGTGAGATTTTCATAACGTAGTATCAGCATAAGAATTTGTAAAAATAAAACTATTTTAAAAAATTTTATCAGAAAAGGTAAAACCATATCAAAAATTATAAAAATGTATTAAATTTTTAATAAAAATTAGCAAAATTAAATGTTAGGCAAATTCAAAAAGGTTAAGATAGGTATGTTTCGAAATTATATCTCTGTGGTTAATATCTCGCATCATTAATTTGTGTTTAACATAAGCATTATTCTTTTTATAGTTTCACATGCTATAAAATTACCAATTCATTTACTTTAATTATTCCTTACATCTCTCTATTATAACTACTTTACACAAATATAACTTTCGTAATGACTTATTTCTTATATCCCTAAATTACCAAATAATAAGTTTTCTTTTTTAATTATTGTAAAAAAAAATTTAAAAACTATAAATAAAACTCATTACTCGTTTAATGTAAATCTATATCATTTTGATAATTAATTTAATAATGTAAGAATATAATCATGGTAAATTTGCTAATTTGTAATAAAAAAAATATAAAAATAAAAATAAAATAAAAAAACCGTCACTGTAAAATGTTGCGTTTTTATAAATTATAAAATCGCATGAGAGCATTTATATTTTAGTAAGTCTTCATTCATATCCGGAGTAATGGTGGCCAACCATCATGGGCACGCATCCTTTGTTTGTGCGGTTTTCCATATTTGTAGTCGTAGTTAGTTTAAAGGAATAATAAGTTTTCTTATTGTGATTAATCGAGATTATAAAAAATGCGAGATCTACCTTTGGACGCTAACTAGTTTTAAAGAAATGAAAATGCCCCAATAAGAAAGAATAAAAATCATGTATTTCACTTGAGTGTATGCTTTTGAAAATTGTACGTCTATAAATCTCTCATTAAACTTCGAAAAAGGAATAAGAGATATTGAACAAGAAATTTAACCGGAACATTTTTTCATCAAGGAAAGCTAGACCCGTTATACAACATGTCCGCATATTCATTATTGGTTACTTGTCGTTGGGTTATTAGATGAATCCAAAAAAGTAGTGTACGCCTACGAGCTGTATAGGTTGGATTGATGTGATTTACGAGATTTGCAAAAGTTGTGAATTGATTTCGCTGGGAAACTGTCAAACCTCTCCATAAAAGAATCGTAGCTTGACTAATTATAAGTCGATGAAAAATATGTAATCTATTGGCTTCACGTATTACGTTTCTTTTCATTAGTTTTACACCAGACATTCTCCGAATTATTCTGCCGTTTCGCACTTGAATAATGAGATTCAGCACATCACGAATATTGGGAAGAATAATGGTATTATAATTTAAACTCGTTAAAAAATGATTTAGTTGGTTATTCATTTTTTAGAATGAAATGTAGAATCTATTCAAACGTTTGTTGTTACAAATAATAAGGGAAAAAAGTCAAAAAAAAAGTCATTTGAAAAGGCTCGCATGCTATAAGAGCTTTTATTTATAATACATAACGTTTATGCACGCCGTTTTTCTACTTACAAACATGTGAAATCACACGCTATATTACCTTAGTAAAAAATAAAGTTTGATCAAGTTAATGATTATCTCGAACTTTAATTCTCAAATTTTTTAAATATGTAATTTTCAAATGCATTTTCGGCTTGTTGCGAGAACTGATTCAATATACGCCAGCCAATTATAAATCAATGTCAACGAATATTTTCTGTTTCAAAAGCCGTAAAATTCTGAAAAAAAAAAAAAAAAATAATAATAATAAAAATTTTAGTATGCAGGGGGATTGTTTAAAGGTCGCGCAAGTTATTTATTTTCTTCTATTAAATCGGAGTTAATATTCAGGGAATTATCTTTTTACGGCCTGATCAAAGAATTAGCACCTATATAAGTAGCATAATAAGTTATATAAGGGTTTATTGAATATGATCGTCGTTTTTTTGTTAAACCAAAGTAATATTACCGGGTCTGATCAAATTTTTTCGGTCAATTCTGTAATGAGGAAATTAACCAATCGTCATTTCATTTTCAAAATTATATATTAATTGTTTCACTTACGAAAGAACCATGTCAATTATAAATGATAACGGGGACCGTTTGCAAGTCCGGAGAGAGCCCATTTTAAATTCACGTGATAAAGTAACACCAAATGTGCCAATAAACATCGACTCAAACGGGGGGGGGACAGACGGACATCTTGTTTACGCTGTCTTGTAGTTAACAGTCCTACGCTACGCTCCGGACTAATAATGTTAATCTTTAATTAAGGCGGAATTCTGAATTAATAAATAGTGTGTTTCTTGTTAACCGAAGAAATACTTTGCGTTACATTTTTCGAGGTGCAAGCAAGATCTCGTCGACTGACCAAAATGAGCAATTCCATTAGAAATATATCGGAATAACTCTCTTCGCGTATTTGCTTAAAAACAACGTTTAATCCACTTTTTAGGTTTCATCTAAAGTAATCAAAATGCACATTTATTACTAAGAATAAATTTAAGATGCCTGAACATTTAAATGTTATAATGCATAATTAAAATACAACTTAAAAAATAAATTAAACGTTAATCTTGAACTTACGCTTTTCAGCAGAAATCTTTTTTCAGGTTAATTTTTTTTTTTAGATAAAATAAAGGTGATTTTAAATCATAACTATTTTGATGCCGATCATTTCAACTTATATTCAATTGTATGATACGTGATAATTAAAAAACAATGGAGACAAAAAATGTGAAATTTTTTGAAAAAATAATGAAGTAATTATTCTTACGAGTCGAATTTTTTTATTTTAACAATGATACTTTTAAATGGTACGACAATTCGTTTTTATTTTATTTTGATTGACTTAACCATTGTCATAGTGGACTAACACTGCAGATAGGTATACTGTATAGTATGTTTTGAATCTATCCTGCAACGGGCCGGGTACAAAGTACCAGCCCGAATTCTGGCAAATTTATAATTTAATTAAAATTGAGCTACTGAGTATATTTGTTTAACATTGTTGCTGACCGATTTTTTTTTTAATTTTTCACGTTACATTATTGAGATATTTTTTCAAAAAAAGAATAAAATGTCAAGAAAAAAAAAGCAGAAAAGGTGAAGTTTGGCTATCTACTAATTTTTCTTTGTAAAATCCAATAATTTTTATAGTAATCGTCATAAATTAAGAGTAGATATTATACAAAGTTCACTTCAATAATTTTTTTTTTTTTAGTTTTTATTTCAATAAAATTTGTAAAATAAATAAATAATATATATATTATTAAATTTCGGCGTGCTTTTTATTTATTACACGAATTATAGCCCGGGCCGGGGACGGGCTTCAAATTTGGACTTATGCAAGGCCTCAATCCTCAAGTCTTCTTTGTATAATTTCTATATCAGTAGCATCTGAACCTCAGACGAATCGGAGTTCGGAGTAGGGCGCAACATCATAAATAACTGCATTGGTATAAAAAAAGTGATGTTTCATGAGGTCCTATGAACGTGTTCGAATAGATCTTAACAATCTATCCTGAAACCATATACTATTGATTATCTTTAACGCACCGCTCCAAAGTTAGAATATTTTGAAAGCATTGAAAGGATGATCGGGTATTGCCCCCTCAAAAAGGAAATCACCAAAGGTAATTGCAATCTATTTATGGATTTATTTAATTTTTAAATGGAATAAAAAATAAAATACTTGAAAAACTGACGGAAATCTCCAAATTTAAGTAAGAAAGGAATAATGACAAATCGGAAAATCTCACCTTATATTATTATCAAAAGTATCATCAGCGGTTCCCTTATGAATCGTTTAAATTTTTTTTTTTTTTGAAGTAAATTTATTAAAAAAATCAATTTACGTCGTTTTGTAAGTTTTACAATTTTAACTTTGTTAATTTGCACCATTTTTGTGGACATTATATAGCGTTTATAAGATATTCGTGAGAAAAATTTACTTATTTTTTTTTTTTGTCATTGGATTGTCTAAATCTAATTTTCCAAATCTTGACTCAAATACTAAGGTATTTTGTTTTATTGTTATTATTTATTCATGATTTCCCGCCATAGTAAATAAAAATTTTTTTTTTTTTCGAATTTCGTTTTACATAATTTGCCTAGCTAGGATAAAAAATACGTACTAAATCCGAAAAATAATAATTACGCTAACTTAACCATTCCAAAGAAAAGTTCGCATATTCCGTGATGATAATTTCACTTTATTTGCAAAAGTCTATTAGGTAGCCGTTGCTTTAAATTTTACCTGATATAAATCCACGTTTTCAAAAGTATGTATTAAAATATACCCGGAAAGGAATTATATTTTTGAGGGAATGATTGAAATGTTGAGGATTTTGATGGGTACTGCTACCCGTTGAAACATTTGTCACCCGTCGAAACTTAAATTTCTTTAGATAATTTTTATTTGTAATAATATATATAAAATAAAAAAAATGTTATGGGTGATATTGAATGCCTGTTGACATTTTGCCTCGGAGGTTAAATACAAGTTCGTGAGCTCTAAAAATCAGTCTAAAATATAACACAAAATTTGGAAATGATCATTTTAATTTAAAAATGAGACCTAAATTTTTTAATTTTAAGAAAAATATAATCAATTAAAATGTTTAAATATAAACTTACAAATATTTAATAAAGAATTTTTGAATTGTGTAACAATATTTCAGAGGGTAGGTATTTTTAATTTTAATTTTTTTTTTACAATGCAATGTCATACTCCTACAAAAATATTTGATATGACTAAATAGTTTCATTATGGCTAAAAAGTTTTTTAATTGAATCGACTAATATTTTAAATTAGTACAATTTATATTTGTAACATTTTTTTTGTTTGATAGCGGAAGTATTTACATAAAAAATATATATACATATATTTATATTTTGAATACTCTATCGATTCAAAGTTTGTAAGTATGCATAAACTCAGATTTAAAGCTAAGCACAATAAAATATAAACATAAATATATATATTAAATTACGAGGCATATAAATTTCTTGTTTATTTTACATAATTTTAAAAATGAATTAACTTCTTCGATCTTTCTATTAAATAAAAATTTTGATAATTACAGCGATATTTAAGGTATGAAAAATAAAAAAGGGGTATACCCCAGTGTAGCATAGATTAGAACATTCATTTTTATGTCTGAAATTATCTGAGAGAATATTTATGTTGCCTCCAACGTGCAAACCATAAAAATAATGATTATAAGAAAATATGGACATTATTGGAATACTGCATCCATATTTTTTAGCCTCTTCCGGGATTTTTCAAACTTGTAATGAATGTTGCTTGTTTAACGCCTCGCCTGAGAAGAAGGCTAATGATAAATAAGCTGTAGATAGCCACGGGAATAAACCTAGTTATACGACGCACCCATCCCACACTGTCATTTGACCGAAATTTAATCCATTCTTTGGCTTTCTCAAGGATGATTTTTTCTTTCTCTTCTCCCACAATTTTCTTCAAAGCATTTACAGCTTTTTCATGACACATTTTACACTCATCTTAAAATTTTCAAACATGGCAACTTCCAGTTAAGCTATCGCAATACTAGTATTTAATATTTCTTCAATTTCTTTAACCTCCCCGATTTCCTTTTCAATTTCTCGCTTTAATTTAACGAAATCATTTAATCTCTTTTTAATAATAAAATCATAAAATGATTTAGTTGGTAAGAATGAACCATCAAATGATTGTAATCCCAAAAATTCAAATAAGTCTTCGATTTTCGATTCTTTATAAAATATATAAATAAGTTATTATTAAGCATATTAATTTTTTATCTTTTTAATTTTTTATTTTTATTTCGTACCTGAATTTACGAATGAATGAGGAACTCTCTTTTTCGTGAAATCATATGAGCTCCAGATAAAACTTCATTGTCAATTGCGATAAAGCTATAAAACGAAAATATTAATTATTATAAGCAATAAAGAAAAGTTACTTGTGTTTTAAAATATAAATATCTATTACCCAGTATGCTTTGAAGCTAAGTTAAAAGTCCTAACAAGATTAACAACAATATATGGGGAGCTGTCAGTAGAAAAGGGGGAAATCCACTTTTTTGTCAAAAATTTTTTTATTGATTCACTCTGCTGATCATGGTCATGTGAACAAAACTAGCTTAATAACTAAAATTACTCAAAATTTCCTTTTTCTATTGACCGCCCCCAAATACATATCTGCTTGATGGTATTCCATCAATCATAAATGTAGTAGTTTCATTTATTAAAAATTTTATTTAAATTATAGTTAAACTATAATTAAATGATAGGATTATTTTTTATATACTATATTATAAAAATATATGTAAAATAGTTTTTAAATAAATAATTATGTAAAGTACTTAAGAAATTTGATGTATATTAAAAAATACAACAAATTTGAAATTCTGTTTTCTTAAAAAATTCATTATATTTTTTTTTAATAAATTAATTTATATAATAGTCGAAATTGTATTTGCTGGCTTATTTTGCATATTTATTATATCAAAAATATTTATCAAAATAAATTTTATAAAATAATAATAAAAATTTTTAAGAATTAATTTGTTTGATCAAATAAAATATAATTAATTTATTAAAAAAAATAAATGAATTTTTTAAGAAATAAATTATGATATTATAATATTTATAAGATTAATAATAAATTTAAATGATTTAATTATAATAATATATTACAAATTTAAATGATTTATAAATTAAATAGTTTATATGCAATGATTTATTAATTAAAAGTGTAAATAAAAAGGTTTTCTTTATTCTTTTTCATTTTTTAAATTTTACTAAATTTTTTAATTTGATGATAATTTTCTCTTTTTCTTTTTCTTTATTTCTTTATTTATTTTCTTTGTTAAATTTTATATTTTTATGCAATTTACAATTTATATATAAATAAAATCAATTTTTCATATTTTTATATTTGTTTTAATTTTTATAAAAAAGATTATTATTGATTAGACAAATAAATATTTTAAACTTTTTATCAAAAAAAATTATTAATATAAATATTAGTAAAATAAAAATTTTAAAAATATAGTAATAAAATATTAATAAGAAAATACAAATACTTTTACTTTTATATAAATAAAAATTTAGTATTTTAATAAAAGATTATTATAGAAGTATATTAGAAAATAAATTTTTAAATATTATGATTAAATATAGATAATGTTATTTACTAATATAGAATAGTAATAAATATTAAATATTTTAGACATAATTAATATAATTAATATGATCATTTATATTAAATATATTTAATATGATTAAAATTCTTAACATATTTAATATGATTAATTTAATTAATATAGTTAATATATTATTATATAAAATTAATATAATATAAATATAGTTCTTTAAAATTGTAAAAAAAAAGCTATATGTAAAATTCAATCATTATAATAATTATTTATATATCTTATTTCACTTTCTTTTCTTATTTTCTTACTATTTCTTTTATCATTATTTGAAGTATAGTGAAAAATAATTAGATATTAGGTATATTAAATGTAATGTCATTCTATCCTTAATCAGAATTCTATATTATTGAATACTAAAATATCAAATACAATAAAACGAATATAAATTAATAGATTATGATTTTTATTATATGTTCTGTTATCTAAAATTATACTTTAAACTAAAACAATTACTATTCTTTAATTTTATTTTAATAAATTTGTATTTTTGGTATAAAATTTAAATATACTGTATCATAATAATAATTAAGATTAACTGAATTCTACTACTATTATAAAGAATAATAAACTAAAACTAGAATTTTTTAGAAAATAAATTTTACTTTATTTTAAATTACTATATAAACTTTAAAAATATTAATCTTTAAACTATCACAACTCATAAAGATTATATATTAATAATATATAAAATTTTAAATTTAAAAAAAAATATAGTAACTAAAAAATATTTTATTATTATAATATTGATTAATTAAAAGATCAATCAATTTTTATAAATCAAAATATTTTTTTTTTAATAATTAATATAATAAATTATAGAATTAATTTTATATAAAGAAAAAAACTAAAATGCTAAAAAATGATGATTTAAAAATATTATTAAAAATATTTGATAAATTTATTAAAAATTTATTTTAAAAATTATTTGAATAATAAAGATTTTTTATTTTTTAAAATATTTAAAACTTTATTTTTTTTTTAATTAATTTTTAATTTATTTATAAAAAATTTTTTTTAAACATTTTTTATTAATTTATTTAATAGATATTATAAAGATTAGTTAAAATCTAATTAATAATACTAATTATATTTTAAATATTTTATTATTCAATTTAAATTTTAAATAAAATAAGAATTTTTTTATTTAAATTTAATTAAAAGTTTATTAAATAACAAAAAAATTAATTTATGTAATATTAATATAATAAATACTAAATTAACTTAATAAATATTAAAATCCAATTATTTTCAGATTTTGAAAATTAATAAAGAGAATTTTTTTAAACCAAAATACTAAAATTATATAAAATATTAAGAAGTAAATTTATGTATTTTTAGTATTACTCCTTCATAAATGCAAAACTAATCTTAATAAAATTAAAATTTAATAATTGCATATTTTTTAAATAAATAATTTTACTTAGATTACCAAAGATAATTTATTCAGACTAAAATATCAAATTAGTCAAAATAGAAAAAAGTAAATTTATATATTATTAGTATTATGAATTTTATAAATATTAAATAATTTTGATAAAATTAAGATTTAAGTGATTTTAAAATCTACTAAACTAATATTTTAAATAATTTAGTTCAGTCTAAATTATAAATCAATTTAAAACTGAATTAAAATTTTAGTTTAATTTAATTCAAATTATAAATCTAAAATTATTAATCTGAATCTAATTTAAATTATATATCAATAAAAATTTTGATTTAAACTAAAAATTTGATTAAATAAAAATATATAGATTGATTTTTATGCAAACTAAAACTGATCAAATTTAATCTAATCTAAAAACTTTAGATTGATTTAAACTGTTTAAAGCTTATACTAAACAATTTTATATAAATTATTAAAAAATAATATTTTTGAATTCAAATATTAAATATAATAAAATAATAGAAAAGTTAATATATATATAATATAAAATTTATAAAATTGTTTAAAAATTACATAAGTGTATTTTATTTTATTTTATTTTATTTTATTTTTTTAATACATACATTAAAAAAATTCAAAAAAAAGAGAAACTAATATTTTTTATTTTGATAATAACACATTTTTTATTTATTTATTTAATCAATTATAATATATACAAATATAAATAAAATAAACAAAAAAAAATAAATTAAATAAAATTTTAAATGTAAAATATATAATAATAAAACAATAAAGTGAAAATACAATTAAAATAAAAAAAATAAATTAATAAAATTAAAGATTTTTTACAAAAGCAAAATAAATTAAGCTAATAAAACTTGTTGAATTATAAAGAAAATATAATTAATTAAATTTTATTTAATAAAAATCAAAAAATCAAATAATAAAATTATTCATATATGAAAATATATAATATCAGTGATGATTACTACTGATGATATATAGTAATTTTTTAAATAAAATTTGTAAAAATAAAAATAAAAAAATGGTAAATAGTATATTTATAAGAAAATATAATATAAAGATATAAAATAATTCAAAAAAAAAATTCAATAAAAATAAATAAAATTTATAAAATTATTACAGTCAATGACCAAAATTATGCGGACATATTTAAAATCAAAAAAATTATATACTCATAATATAATAAAAATAAAATTTTAACAAAATAAATTCAAATATATCTTTATTTATTGATTTATAAAAAAATTTAA